GACCTGGGTAATGGTGAACAAATGGTCGACGGTAGACCTACCGGCTCTAAACCCAGCCTGTTCTTCGGCTTCCTGGCAGCTCCAAACCTCTTCGACCTTTGCCTTGAGAATTTTACCGTAGACCTTGCTCAAGGTTCCTGTGACCGATATACCTCTGTAGTTGTCGCAATCTTGCTTACTACCTTTCTTATGACTGGGAGTAATCCAAGATTCCTTCCAATCCTTTGGTATTTCGGAACCATGCAAACAGTCTTGCATAAGTTTCCGAAGATGTTCAAATAGTTTACCGGTGCCACATTTTATCAACTCCGCCGGTATACCCCTAGGTCCAGGACCTCTGCGAGTTTTCAACTCCCTTACAGCCTTCACTACATCTTGGAGCTGGATCTCCACGTTGGAATCTTCTTTAGTGCTTATGACTCCGCCTTGAAACTCGGGTCGCCTCTCCGTTAATAAATCTTTAAAATAGTCCTCCATCTTGTCAATTGGTATCGGAGATATGATGTCGCGCATTTTATTCCGTCGCAACCCTTTGATCACTTTCCAGCCTTCCGTATACTTTTCCGGCCTCCAAGGTAGGTATTTATCTTCATGCAGCTTTCTTCCCAAGCCTCATTCTTCTTCCGAGTGATTACCCGACGGACTCTTGCTTGAGCCTGTCTGTACATGATTTTATCATCCAACTTTTGGGAAGAGAGAAACTGATGATACCTATTCCTTTTCACATTTATTTCCTCCTCTACCTCCGCATCCCACCAGTACGGTTTTCTGTTATCAGTTTTTTGTTCAGAAACCCCCAGGGCCTCCGCTGCCGCCGTGTGAACGCAATTCTTAATGAATTCATACCGCTCTTCCGTACTGCCATCGCACGCATCTCCTAACTTTTCATCCAGGCGCTTTGCGTACAGAGCCTTGACACTCGGGTGCTTTAGGCTATCGATGTTGTACTGGACTTGATGTACGCGTTGTCGCTGCGGTTGTTGATTGTCGCTTTGATCGTTCTGCGACACACGAGCGGGAAAGGCTACATCCGCTCTGAGGAAATAGTGGTCACTACTGCAGGAGAGTCCTCTACATACCCTCACCTGCTGAATCTTCAGGTTTGTTACCTGTTTAACGAGCACGTAGTCAATGATGGATCTTAAGCCGCGGGTAGGTTGGACCCAAGTATATTTGTGAATATCCTTGTGTTGGTAAAACCCGTTCAATACTTTTAATTCCCTCTGCTCGCAAACGTCGATAATGCGGCTTCCGTTGTCGTTCACCGTAACTTCATCGAACGGGCCAACGATTTTACTGTTCACCCGGGATCCCGTTCTTCCATTTAGATCTCCCAACACAAGGACTTCTCTCCCAGGTCCTACCTTCACTACCTCCTCGTCCAGTTCTTCAAAAAACTGATCCTTAAGTGCGATTTTATCATCATTGACCCCGTATACCCCCAAAACAGTGACTCTGTGACCGTGCATACTTAGATTCATCTTAATCATGCGAGCGTTGATGGCTTCCCAGTTCTTAATATTTTTTCGAAATTTTTTTCGGATCAGAATTGCGACACCCTGTTGTGCACGCTGATGTTTCGGCACTCCACTGTAGAATAAATCATAGTCCCCAAGGCTCTCTGATCCGTGGCCTTTTTTCTTCGTTTCCGTTATTACCGCCACGTCGATCTCGTTGTTCTTTATCTCCGATACCACTTCCGTCAGTTTCTTGGAAATGCCTTGCACATTCCAAGTACCAAAAGCGAGTGTCGTTTTCCGTAATCTAAGTCGAAGAGTCCGTTTATTTCCATGGTTACCGAGGCATATGTTATTGGGTTTTTTGACATTGTACATTTTTTCCGTGGATCGGGGAGTTAGCCCGATGCCCCAACCCCCAACCTGGAGGACCAGGGTTTGATTTCGGAGTTACCTCTCCTAGACAGGTTGCTTCCACCACAGCTAAGAGCCCTGTCTACCCACCCCCTTTGAGGCAGGGGCTACCAGCTAGGGTCCGCAGGATTGCTAAACCTGTGACAGTACAGCCCCCCTTACGGACTCAATTTTCAATTAAAAGTATTATATGTCACCTCTGAGATGAAAATTTGGGAAAACAGGCAAAATTAGAGAAAATTTTGGGAAGTGATACACTTGACGGTGGAAATTCGGGTTTAAAGCTCAACTATTAAGCTCGACGAGCTATATTTCCTAAGTCTACACCTAATGATAGTCGAAATAAAGTTTATTTTGCCCAAAAATTCACACAAAAAATTTGGGAGGAAATAGAACCTGGAATTTGACCCTTATTTGAATTCACCCACCTATCGTGCGACTGCAGGTTCCGTTTGTGTGTGTCGCTTCAATGTTTGGAGAAGGAGGAGGGATCCATGTTTGTGCGGTTGACAATGCTAACGTTTTATAAAGCTGATGTTTACAAACGGTAACAATAACATTCCAAAAAAAATTTTTTTTGGATCCGTCGAACTGAACATTCCATAAATTTTTGCACCACCTGAACACGCTGTGCATTGAAAATTGTTTAATTTCTCGCACCATCTGCCAACACGGTAAAAAGTACTTATTTTCTCGCGCCAGCTGGCAACATTGTAAAATCAGATGTTGCCAAGTTTCACCAATAGGTAAATCATTTCTTTATTTGTATCGTCTGGCAACGCTTTTGCATGACCTGCATGCAATAGCATAACCGGCAGATTGAAGGGGTAACATATAATACTCAATATTATTTTAATTGCATAAGCCAAAGAATGAAGGGACAAGATATAATACTTTCTACTCTGTTGCCACATGGTCCAATACTCATCCCACAACCCTATAATTCAATTTGTATTTTTCTGCAAAATTTGGCGTTAAACTTTTGCGCTCAAATCGGCATTTTCATACTGCTGATGGATGGAACTCATTTTGAGAATTTTTACAAGAATTCAATCAATATAAACGGTAAGATAATAAATCGTGATAAACGATTTATTCACAACTCAGATGGACATAGCGCAGATGGATTACCTAATGGGTGACTATGTCAATCTCCACACCCTGTTACCTCGAAGGGTTAGACTGCTGGAGTGGCATAGTCATCCACGATGACTGATATTTGAGTGTTCTAAGACATCAATCACCTCCAGGTATTGAACCCGGGACCTCAGTGTTGACTGTCTTGCCCACTACACTTTCTAAGGCTGACTATATCTGAAACAAACATTATAGCTTTTGGGAATATTTTGATTACATGAAGACGACTATTGAGCCGGTGAACACTTTGTTCGTCCCCACAGGTTATGTCAGACCTCGATAAAAGAGGAAATATCTGTATGAATTTCTTCTATACTGGTAAAAAAGAGAACAAATACTACCTGCTGGAGTTCTGCCATGACCAACGCCTGTAACTGGCTCAACTGTTTTGTTTTCATAATGTCCATGCTGCTTGCTGTCAATAGATGGATAACCCGCAAGACCTCCCGCTCCTGCTGCTATCACCAGAGGCACCCTATCTCCGTTTTTCTTGATCTAGAGGAAAATAGGCACATGCCAATGAGTTATCTGAAATTTTACGGCATACTAAACACACAAATGATATGATGTAAGCGCAAGGGGATACCAGGGGGGGGGGGGGGGGGGTATAGGATTATGGCCTGATTGAAAAACGACAGCTTAAAAACTTTGGTACTGAAACCTCTACAACGGTTCCTGCAAAAAATGTTATTCCAAATGCCATTTTTTAACCAAAATAAGATCACACGATTTTTTGTGGATTGAAAATGGGTCTCTTCAGACACCCTGGTAAACTGATCACCTAAAAAATAGGTGACATCGCCAAAAAATAGGTGACATCGCCTAAAAGGTAGGTGACATCATCTAGAAGGTAGGTGACATCACCTAGAAGGTAGGTGATGTCACCTAGAAGGAAGGTGGCATCGCCTAGACGGTAGGTGACATCACCTAGAAGATAGAAGACGTCACCTAGAAGGTACGTGACATCGCCTGGAAGGTAGGTGACATCACTTGGAAGCTAGGTGATATCACACAGGTCACATTTGAGTTTCAGGATTAAGTAAGGAAAAATTAAATATTAACTAGCTAATTATTGGATAATTTCGTGGGTAGATAATAGAACATTTGCTTTGTGCTAAACATTTTTATATCTACAGTGGAAAAAACTATAAGAATAAATATATGTAAAAAAAAAGGAAATGTAGAACATTAGGTAAAATAAAAACAAGAATGAAGTAAAAATAAAATAGATTAAAGACATGAAATGTCATAAAAAATATACGTTTGAAGCGGACGTTAGAAAATGAAAAAAGTGAAAAAACAAAATAAAGTGAAAAATAACATGCAGTCTGAAAATGAAACATAGTAAATAAAATAAAATAGAGAAAAAAAGTAAAATAACAGCGTGAAAAACTAAAAAATGAAAAAATAAAGTTAATTAAAAAAATAAAATATAGTAAAAAAATAAAATAGGGAATAAAATAAAATAGAGTGAAATAATAAAGTAGAGTAAAATGAATAAAAAAGAATAAAAAAAATAATGAAATAAAGGTAAAAATGAAAAAATAGGTAAAAAGTAAAATGAAGTAAAGTAATAAACTGAAATGAATTAAAGTAAAAAACGAACAAATCAATAAAAACTGGTCGAGATATCCTGGCTTTACAGTGCACGTTTAATTCGAAGCTAAATGCAGGTTTTCGTCACTGCTTTCAGGTGGCCGGCTTAGCTTAGTAGGTAAGGTCTTCGTTCAGTGTTCGGGAGGTCCCAGGTTCAATTCCCGAAGCAGGCAAAAAATTCCAGGTCAAAATTCCAACGAAAGTGCCTAACAGTGTCCCGTGGACGCCATTTTTCACAGTTTTTGAAATAATCCCCGTACATAACCCATTTTGGTTTTTTTTTTTTTTTTTTTTTTTTTTCACGGCCCCACAATGCTAGGTGACATCATCTATAATTTTAGATGACATCGCCTGTTCCAAAAATCCCCGTACCCAAGTTGGTGAGGCGATGTCACCTATATTTTTAGGTGATCAGTTTTACCAGGGCAGGCAACAACAAAGGTTCTTTGTCAGCCCTCGCAGAGGGGAGAAGGGACCAAATGCCCGAAGGGGACACATTGCAATTAATTACAATTACTTGGTAAAATTAAGATACTGCATTTGAGTGTGATGCATTGTATCCCTGGTAAAAGTGGAACATAATGACATCATAATGCTCACAGTGAGCATCACTCTGAAGTCGTTATGGTGTCATAATGAACACAATAACAAAACGTCATGGCAACATTACAATGACCATATTGACGTCGTTCTGATATTATTATCATAAAACTCTGACAAATCAAATCCGACACTATGACATCATAATGATAAAACAGGGTCAGAGTGACCGTCAGGGTGACATCGATAAGATTGAAACAGAGTCAAAGTAAAAGTCGGTCTGACGCTCTTACAACTGAGGTAAGTTACTAAGATCAAGGATGGTATCAAAACTGTGACTAATTTACCTTGAAAGTAATCATTCTGATAATGGTATTTAGGTATGAAAATGCATGCAGAGAAGTGTTAATTTGTGTGTATTTTCCAACTGATATACACTATTTTTGTTTTGTCTTTTGGTTAAAATTAGCTGTATCACTTTGATGGAATGAAAATCGCGTCACAATGATCTAACGTCATAGCAACATGACAGTGATGTAAAGTCATAACGACAACACTGTGCTTTATGGAACACAAAGTGTCAATGATCGTCATAATGACATCACAATGACAATTTCTGACACTTAGACGTCATTTGGACCGTCATCAAGACAATAAGATTCATAAAGCATAGTGATATCGCTATGACAAAAAAGTCATTACGTTCCACTTTTACCAGGGATATATTACCTATCTACTGATCGAGGGGGCACATACCATTAAAATTACTTGGAATGGAATTAAAATAATGCTGAATTGAATTTTGCAATTTTTCTTTGCATTGCAAATTGTCTAACTGTCGGAAGATACACGTAACGTGAGCGCACGTATTGTTCAATGATCATTTATTAACCAAATGATGTTAGAATATAGCAGTGTTAAAAATAAAAGAATTCCAAGTTTTATTCATTATGGGTAAAGGTAAGGCGAAGTAAAAAGAGGCGTATTTGCGCGGAAATATGACAATTAAAGCCCCAAATGCACATCAGTCCATTTCGGCCACACCCACGCAGGGGTTTAGTTTCGGTCTGGGCTGACCTGCTAGAGCTTAAACTATCATATGCCGGATTGGCTCGGAGGTTTAAAATAAAGGTGGGTATGAATTTTAGATTAAGAGCATGGGGCAGGGCCTAGGGTGTTCCGTTTTTAGACAACCATCTCAAAACCTTGCTTCCCGGGCTTTTTCCCATTCCTTTTGGTCCCCAAAAGATAATTCTGAAGTTTCAGCACCATAGCTGAAGTCTACACTTTCCTCCAAAGCGGTGCAAATTTTGGAAGCAATTACATTGGTTTAAATGGAAAGAAAATAGGCAAATTCCCGGAACTACGTTTTTCGGTTGTAAAATACACCGAAATGATTTCAGACCTGACCATCTCTTGGAAAGTCATCCAGAGGCCTATTTTGAACGAGAAAATTCCACTTTTGACCCAAAGAGGGGGGGGGCTGGGGTCAGGGCGCGGTTAGTTTTGAGGCGCTGCGCGCAGCAAAATAATCGCATTTGACAGTTTTTGATCAACCTCAGAACAGGTCCTCCGAAGCTGAGGAGGCTAATGTATCTCATAAATTGTAATAAAATAATGTACAAGAGTTGTTTTTATCCCTTCAGAACTATTTTCGACTATTTACACTATTGCCAAATTCACTCAAGTGCAGAAGATGATATACACTAATTCCCTTCCAGGTTCGAGTAAATTTGGCAACAGTGTAAATAGTCGAAAATAGTTCTGAAGGGATGAAAACAACTCTTGTACATTATTTTATTACAATTTACGAGATACATTAGCCTCCTTAGCTTCGGAGGACCTGTTCTGAAGTTGATCAAAAACTGTCAAATGCGATTATTTTGCTGCGCGCAGCGCCTCAAAACTAACTGCGCCCTGACCCTCCCCTCCCCCCTCTTTGGGTCAAAAGTGGAATTTTCTCGTTCAAAATAGGCCTCTGGATGACTTCCCAAGAGATGGTCAGGTCTGAAATCATTTCAGCGCATTTTACAACCGAAAAACGTAGTTCCGGGAATTTGCCTATTTTCTCCCCATTTAAACCAATGTAATTGCTTCCAAAATTTGCATCGCTTTTTCTTCTACTGCATCGTGTGTATCCCCAAATGATATGTTTGCAACACATTTAACACTAAACTAGCTGCTTCAGCTCGCTACGCTCGCTTGCGCCGCTAGCCGAGGGCTTCGCCTCCTGGACCCCCAGTCACTCACTCCACGTGCCACATTTTGCTACTACAAGTAATTCAAGGACTTCATCGAATACGATGTTTTTTCACACCTATCTTTAGGGATAATTTCAACTTTTACTTTTTCAACAGACGTAGCCCTCGAGAGTACGACGTAAAGTTGTCCATGGATGAATGCAGACTGTAGCAAATAAATGCCAACACGATCTAATGTTTGACCCCGCCTATAAGATAGATAGCCTATATTATAGATAACAATTTCAACGTTGACAACAACGTAGAATTACACGTTACTCGTGAAACCTTCCACGAGGAAAGCAACGTGTATCAGAACGTGTAATTCTACGTGGATGTCCATGTGTTAAGTACCGTTTCCTGAACGTTCCCGTGTAAACGTTGTCAGCGACAACGTTTACGGGAACGTTTCAGTGTCCACGTCGCAGGAACGTTGCAGTGTCTACATTGCAAGGACGTGGCAGTGACTACATTGCACGAACGTGCAGTAACATTAGAATCCATTTTATTCGCAAAACATAGTGTGTACCTATCATTCACTTCATAGGCACGACTTTCATTTATACTAGGGCCCACGAACGATGATCCCTGAAAAATCGGGCGAATAAACGCATGGACCATGTAAATGACAACGCTGCTGGGTCGAGCACGCACATCGACGAGACCGGGTATTGTGAACGCGAAAAGATATTGTATGCGAACTGCTGCTATTCTACCCCTATCTTCAGGTCAAAATTCTTCATAGGAAGCCCTTTCGTAAAAGATCAATTTCTTGTAATTTTGCCCCAATCGCTTCGGCCATTACATGGTTGGATTGCTCGTAAAATTCTGAGCTAAATCATATATAATTGTTACGTACAATTTTTATTTTTTCCTTCTTTTTCCGTTTTGAAGCGAAGTCCAATTTTTATTTATAACATCGTATCTCGAACTGTAACTTTGCTGCCATATGACAGATTTTTATAAACGAGGTCTCTTTTTACTCGTGTTTTAAAGGCGAGTAACGAAACTCTTGCTAAAAAATGTTACACAACTTTCAACAAATTTTGGTTTTTTCTAGCGGGAGGGTGAAATTGTAAATTACGCGTAAGTAATTAGGGTTCGAATGTGGCTCGGCTCGGCATTGTCCCCAAACTCGAGACTCGGTTCGGGCTGGGGTGTCGCTGTTGCCAGTGTTTGCAAGAAATACCCGCGGCTCAGGGATCATCGTTCGTGGGCCCTAGTATAGGTGTACGTACTAGAGGAGGAATATAAGCACTTTCAGTTTTAGAGTAGAACATGAGGTCTACGGGTTAAAATTGTGGACATTGACTTGAGATACAGAATTAGAAACAGACAAGTAAGTGCAAACCAGATAATTCACGAATTTTTATGTGTGTAAAACACGGAGGTATAAGCATTACTTCAAGCACAACATTAAACTGCGAAAATCACTTGGTACGCCAATATCAAGATAACAAATGGTGGACTCTCTCGAACAGTTGCAACCTTTGCTGATCAGACTGATTCCAGGAACTTGGTCGGTGCCGACATGGGCTGCGCATGCGCTATAGACTTTTTGAGTAATCTGCGCCGCGAAATGCAGCGCCACCTAGTGGGCGCTCCTGGCCTGTGTCCTGCCTGTGCCGCCTTTTCCAGTACAACGTGTTTTGGACTACGTTGAATTATACGTCCCGGAAACGTAGACAGCGAAACGGCGAAAGAGCGATTTTAACTTTTTAGGTTAGGTTTACAGAGCAACGTTCCTTTCCACGTTCCTGTTACGTCGCCAGTGAGACGTTTTCGGAGCACCCCTGTTCTTCCATGTTGATTACTACGTAGAAATTTTAAACGTTCCCGGAATGTTTCAAGGTCTACGTTGATTTCCACGTTGCTGAAACGTTCGATGTTATCTGGGAAATGCCATTCCGTTACCGATGGCACACGAATCGGTCACGTGCCTCATTGCCACGCGAGACGCGACTATAAAGACTTTTGATGGCGGACCCTTGGCTTGCGGCCCGACACGGCATCAATTTTCGGTCCCGCGTTCCAGCTTCATTACCGATGGGGCTGTCCCAGAAGACAGGGTATGCGACCCTTGGACATGGCGATGAATTCGCGGAACACCCCTTTGTCTACGTTTCCCATCAGCGCGGCTGCACACGCCTCGCCGGGAAGCTCTAAGAAGTGGACGCCGAGGAAGGGTTGAAAACACAGCCCGCGGTGCAATTAGCCGCCCGGCAGCCCGGCCAGGGGCGCTGGCGTGCGACAAATGAGGCCGCTTCACTTTTGAAACTGGGTACCCAGCATCAAAATTAATGCGGCATCGAAAAGCCATGCCGAGTGTCGGCTTCACAAGGTTAAGCCGCCTCACGGGCAAATGCGATCCCCCGGAGCACTTTCCGATGCGGCATGAAAGTCCACACCTGATACCCGCCTTGCACGCCGATGCCGCACCGTTAATGATGCTGCCTCAAACCTCAGATCTAAATCCCTGTCCACACCTCCCTTTCTCGTCCCACGGTGCAGTACGTCGCAGAGTAGCGACAAGTATCAAAAGAGGGACTCGGTTCCCGCGTGAAAGGAGGGGGTGGGGTGCGCCTGATACTCAATTAACGGTCGGCTGGGTAAAAACCCATTGATTTCGCAACCTCGGGCGAAAAACATCAAAACCCGCTTTTGTCGGAAACGGCCGGTCCGGACGCGATTCGATATAAGCTGGTTTTATTGTATATTATTATCATTACCATAATTAATTTCAAATTTATTCGTTTCTAAATTTAAGATGACTGGCGGATCAAAATGACGGAGCTAAATCTTGCTGACTCCCAAGTAGCATTTTTCAACAGAAAAATCGCGATTTTTTTACGATTTTATCCGCTATAAAATCGCTAGGATCATCAACATCTGAGCAATTATCCTCGATATTTTCGCAATTTTATTGCGCGATTTTAACGCGATAAGATCGAGTATAATCGCTCAGATGATGAAGATCCTAGCTATTTTATCATCGATAAAATCGCCCAAAAAAAAAGGGTTTGCGCTGTTAGCCGATTGCCGTTAGGTTCAGCCGTCAGGTTCTTTGACGAAGACGAGCGTGAAATCCCCGGAGCCTCCGCGGGGATTCGAACCCGAGTCGCAGCGGTGGTAGGCCAGCACATTGCCACTAGGCTATGGCCGCTGTATGACTAAAGAGTGCGAATCGAAGCCTCTTATACATGGATCGGCGCTTCGCAACCTTACAACTTTTGTCATCGCGTTGACTGACACCGAGTTTTCATTGGATTTTTTTTTTATTTTCCCTCCTCTGTATTTCATTTCATACCTTGAAATACGGTTGGTAAAATAAGGTTCTATTGGTAATCTCATAATTCTGTTTTGGTAAAATTACCAATAATAGTAACATGGCAAATTTACCGATGGACCTTGGTAAAAACGCCAACATTTTTATCGACTATGGTAGAATTACCGAGATAAAATGGTAAAGTTACCGGAAATTGATTACCAATAAAAGTGGTACATATTCCTACCTGAAAAAACCAGTAAAAATACTGGTTTTTAGGTAAGCTTACCAGTCTGTCTTGGTAACATTACCAATGATTGGTAAAAAAAGTGAGATGGTAAAGTTACCAACGAACCTTGGTAAAAACGCCGAGAATTTTTTTTCAGTGTGGGCGTAGGTACCTCCCACCATCCTAACCCCACACCCAACCCCGTATCGAATCGTTCTTACACTTCCGCTAATTGCAATTTAACCCCTCAAAAAAAACTCCGCGTCACCCCACTCCTCCTCTCCTCACTCCCAACCACACCTCATACCCTTTCCCTTATGACCATGCAGAGGCGATATTAGAAGTTGGCACATTTTCATCTTATTAATTGGGAGGGGGAGCGGCGGCGGCGGCGGCATAGAAACATCTTTCATAAGCGTCATTCATGCGTTAGTGGGTGTTGATGAGAAATTACAATTTATTGCAATTTTATCTCTATAAAATCGCGTTCGATAAAATCGAAAGTTTATCTCAATTTATCGCAATTTTTCTCCCGATAATATTGCGATAAATCGCCGTCGATAAAATCGCGATTTTATTGCAATTTAATGCGATAAAATCGCAATTTATCGCGATTTTTTATCCGATAACATTGCAATAAATCGACGTCGATAAAATCGCAATTTATCACGATCACTGCTACTTGGGGCTGGGTAGGCTTGCCCTAACTTTATCCCCCTTCTCTAAGTATCACAGCTTATCAAAAACAAACTTATTGACTGCTGGCAATACTAAAGACAAAACATTTAATGACACAGACAAGGTACCAACCTGGAATATGAAACTCGCGCCACCACCACCTCCTCCTCCAATGAGCTGCTTAAGATTTCTTACATCTGATATTTTGTGTATACCAGCTCTGCTTGAATTGTCATTACTGCTGCCTATCACAATGGGTTTGCAATTCGGTGCAGAGGAAAGGCCATCTGTAGACACCTAAGGAAAATAAAAACGAGAGAGCTCAAGAAAAAGATGGTATTCAATGCATTGAGGAGCATTTGAAGAGGTATCTCTTAAAGAGACGGATGTAGTTTTTGTGTTTTGAGAAAAATACTCAAAGTTTTTAACTGAAAGTCTCTTACACTTGAGACATCGGGCTATGGGGTGACTGGCGGTCCGTTATTTTAAAATTTACGGTTTTTGATAAGGCTAAAAATATGAAAGTCCCGATCGTTTCTTTTTTCAATGCAACGCTAACAGTTGTTGGGTAAACTAAGACGCTAAATGATGCAACCCTCGTGAAGGGTGTTCGGATATTGTTCAAGGGGACTAAGTAAAAATGTGCTTCCGGACACATGGAGCCCTTGGAAAAAACCAATTCCAAAAGAGAGGAAGAAAGAAAAAAAAACTTAATCTTTGAACAATGAACAATCTACTTACCATTCCATCCGCAAAATTTAATTAGTCAAGATGGGTGCTATTAAGAGTTACATTAGAGTTTTGGTGCTAATTCTCTGACAGTTGGCAAGGGGTGGTTGTGAGCTAGTGTTCAGGTGGCGGAAAAGTCATTTAAATAACGTATTGTATTTCTAGGAGACTTAATCGAGGGTTAAAAATTTGAAATTGACTGAATTTTGTAAAACTAATGGTACATTCTTTTTTTCAAACAATATTTTTGAAATTTCCGACGGTTTTAAATAACTGAACACTTCTTGGGGAGGCAAATTGAAAAAAATGAGATTTGCGTTTATCAAGTCCTCCCGTCGATATGCAACAGGCTGATCTATTCTTAATTCGTGCACTATCCTTAAATTACAATAAATAATGCTTCAATTTCCAAATTTATTTATTTTGTTTATGTTTTTAATATGAAAAAGTAATATCGACTTAAAGGACCACGTGCAAAACGGGCCATTTGGGGCTCGAGGCGGATACCTTTGAGACTTGCCCTATTCATTTACCTAACAATGCCCCATCATTTCCCAAAGTTTCAAGCCCCCCAAAAATTTTGGGGAGACGAGGCGGATGGTCAAAGTTAAAAACTGGCAAAATTTTCACGAATTTATTACTCGAAAACCAAGAAGTTTTGGAAAACGCGGTTTAAACAGAAGTCAGAAAATGTATAACATCATAGGGTTTTGTCAACTTCAGCTCGAGTTATCGCCTCCAAAGCGCCGGAACGCGCTCAAAAAAGACCCCTTATTTTTTCCCGTTTGGGCCGATTTAAAAAAAAGCCATTTTCTTATTTTGATGAAAAACTGATATGTTTTTGCTGACTCTCTGGAGTCCCTCTAGCTCTTTACCGCATGCCGGGGAAATTTTTGGTCGCGAGTTATAAGAGCGGAAAGGAGCAAAGGTCGGGTAAATTGGCTATTTTAAACTGCGCGCGCGGCGTTGATCGGAAGGAAAACGTCCCCTCCCACTCAGTTCGGCGAATCACACTCCTCTGCCGACCTCGCATTGTTGCCACATGTCTCCTGATCCGTCGCCGCGCACAGTTTAAAATAGCCAATTTTCCCAACCTTCGCTCCTTTCCGCTCTTATAACTCGCGAACAAAACATTTCCCCGGCCTGCGGTGAAGAGCTAGAGGGGCTACAGAGAGTCAGGAAAACATACAGGGTTATTCAAAAGTTACGCACCACTGGCCATAACTTTAGTTCTAATTATGATATCGATTTGCGGTTTGTGGCGTCCTTCCTCATATCGAGGGGGAAACTGTTTGAGGTACTTTCCAGTTTTTTAACCCCCCCAGGGGGAGGGGGGGCGGGGGGCAACTCAAAAATTTCAAATGGCAACCCCCATCATGTGATACATCGTTAGAAAGAGCATGAAAAAAGAAAATTTTTAGCGTAAACCGGAAGTCGATCTGACCCCCCTATCAAAAGTTAGGGGGGTCCGAAGGTTATTTAGGGGGTCCGTACCTTCATTTTTTAGAGTAGCTTCGGCGGCTCTTGGACATACCGTTTCTCTTTTCAAAGAGTCCTCGAATACTCTAAGTCTGATACCGAAGTCTTCATATTGCCCCCGGGCCACCACAGGCCCCCCGTAGGGGGGGATGGGCCTGTTACAATGAAAAATTGCATTAAAATACGAAAAGTCACAGAAGTGCTTCAAACTTAGCATCAAATCCGAGTGGAACTTCTTGCCAATGTTAACGCAAACGCAGCCTGCGAGTTTAAAGTGAGTTTTCAAAACTCTTAGCCCCCTGCCCCCCTCATTTTTGGTTGCAGAGCGGGTAAAAACCGGGAATTCACTAAAAATAATGCCCGAAACTAATGTCCAACTTGAGAAGGACCCTTGAAACGTTGCGACCAGTCGGAGCATTGACATACAGGGACTGCCGCCCCCTTAAAGTACGGCAACATCCATAAAACCCTAGCTGCCCCCCTCATTTTTCGTTGCGGAGCGGGTAAAAACCGGGAAAATCGACAGAAATGATGCCCGAAATCACTGTAGAACTTGACGCGGACCCTTGAAACGTTGCGCCCAGTCGGAGAACTGCAACACAGGAACTGCCGCGCACTTTAAGGATGGAATCATCCATAAAACCCTTCGCTGCCCCCTCTTTTTTCGTTGCAGAGCTGGTAAGAACCGGGAAATTCGCCAGAAATGATGCCCCGGTTCTTACCAGCTCTGCAACGAAAAAAGAGGGGGCAGCGAAGGGTTTTATGGATGATTCCATCCTTAAAGTGCGCGGCAGTTCCTGTGTTGCAGTTCTCCGACTGGGCGCAACGTTTCAAGGGTCCGCGTCAAGTTCTACAGTGATTTCGGGCATCATTTCTGTCGATTTTCCCGGTTTTTACCCGCTCCGCAACGAAAAATGAGGGGGGCAGCTAGGGTTTTATGGATGTTGCCGTACTTTAAGGGGGCGGCAGTCCCTGTATGTCAATGCTCCGACTGGTCGCAACGTTTCAAGGGTCCTTCTCAAGTTGGACATTAGTTTCGGGCATTATTTTTAGTGAATTCCCGGTTTTTACCCGCTCTGCAACCAAAAATGAGGGGGGCAGGGGGCTAAGAGTTTTGAAAACTCACTTTAAACTCGCAGGCTGCGTTTGCGTTAACATTGGCAAGAAGTTCCACTCGGATTTGATGCTAAGTTTGAAGCACTTCTGTGACTTTTCGTATTTTAATGCAATTTTTCATTGTAACAGGCCCATCCCCCCCTACGGGGGGCCTGTGGTGGCCCGGGGGCAATATGAAGACTTCGGTATCAGACTTAGAGTATTCGAGGACTCTTTGAAAAGAGAAACGGTATGTCCAAGAGCCGCCGAAGCTACTCTAAAAAATGAAGGTACGGACCCCCTAAATAACCTTCGGACCCCCCTAACTTTTGATAGGGGGGTCAGATCGACTTCCGGTTTACGCTAAAAATTTTCTTTTTTCATGCTCTTTCTAACGATGTATCACATGATGGGGGTTGCCATTTGAAATTTTTGAGTTGCCCCCCGCCCCCCCTCCCCCTGGGGGGGTTAAAAAACTGGAAAGTACCTCAAACAGTTTCCCCCTCGATATGAGGAAGGACGCCACAAACCGCAAATCGATATCATAATTAGAACTAAAGTTATGGCCAGTGGTGCGTAACTTTTGAATAACCGTGTATCAGTTTTTCATCAAAATGAAAAAATGGCTTTTTTTTAAATCGGCCCAAACGTGAAAAAATAAGGGGTCTTTTTTGAGCGTTCCGGCGCTTCGGAGGCGATAACTCGAGCTGAAGTTGACAAAACCCTATGATGTTATACATTTTCTAAAAGCTCTCGTCACGCTGAATTCGCTCGTTTAAACCGCGTTTTCCAAAACTTCTTGGTTTTTGAGTAATAAATTCGCGAAAATTTTACCGGTTTTTAACTTTGACCCCCGCCGCTCTCCCTAAAATTTTTGGGGGGCTTGAAACTTTGGGAAAAGATGGGGCACTGTTAGGTGAATGAATAGGACAAGTCTCAAAGGTATCCACCCCGAGCCCCAAATGGCCCGTTTTGCCGTTTGTAGTTCTTAAATTTTCAAAAAATTAATTGACAAAAAACGAACCTTCCTGCACACAGAACCACCTTCTTGGCCGACAACTATGTACAGTTGCTGGCCTGCTCTGAATTCGTAAACACCACGAGCCTCTGCTCCTAATGAAACACCTTGTCCGTTCGATCCTTTCCCTCCGCCAGCACCTTTAGCGATTATTCTAAAAATCATCATACAAAAAATGTATTATACTATAAGTATTACCTATCCTATTTGGTGTAACCCACATGTGATCGTAGAGACTAATGTAACCCTTACTTGCACGCAATTAGGGAAAAGGTAAAACATTGCATTTTTCCTGTATATTCTTACTATAGGTCTAAAGAACCTATAAAATTGTTTTCTTTTTTGAAAAACCACGTTTGGGAACTTTAAAAGTTGAAATGTGTTGCGGTGGTCCCTGAGAGGCACCACTATGCAGGTTAGAGGGTCCGTCAATTTTCCTGTATAAGAGAAAAATCTTGTAATCCTACATATATTTATCATTCATCAATCTGAAGATTCTACGATGTGATTTGACAGAAATAATCATAAGAGTTGTGGGAGTTTCTCTTCCCTTATCCCCTCCTCCTTCCGTAATCCGTAAGTTTGCTCCTGTGGCTACAACAAGCCTTTGAATTTGATTTCATAAAATGAAAAAAGAAAATAATATAGTTCAAATTATAATCTAGAGCTGATGCTTGTTATTATCTGAACCTATTGGTGAAATTACTTAGGGGGGGGGGGGAGTCCTCTTACTCTTTCTTCCTAGAAATAATCACTCTGCTTCAGAGTTCATATGAATAAATTAAGGGAGTAGAAAATGTAATAGATGCCTTTTATAAACACCCCTCAGTTGGCAGGGGGGGAGGAGGACTATCTCCCCCCCCCCATCAAACTCAAAATAAGGTCAAAAAAGGAAAAATCGAATAAAGAGAATACTACCATAAATACCCCATTACCCCCTGCACGATCCTGCTACAGGCCTCTGTTCGGGGCAGTTTCCAGGCTATGCACAAGTATATGAGCAGCTCATATTTTCATTTTGGCAAAAGTAGGATCATGCAGTATGTAAGAAAGTAGAAAAAAACATCAATTTCACAAAGTAATTTGTGATTTGGAGGATGCAAAATTTAACCACCAAACACATCATATTACAATATGAGGAGAGTTTAAATAGGATGAAGCTCCCCGAAAAAGAGGTTTTCAAAGGACGCAAAGTATGTGAGTAAAGCGACGCATTAGATGAGTTTCTCCTTAACCTATGGTCCACTCTTCGAAACAAAGACACTCTGTGACCCTCATATATGGCCAAAACAGCGTATGTCACTTCAAAATTTGTGGCAAAACAACAGATCTCTCACATTGAGGAGTAATTGTACTTTCCTCAAACAAATTAATATGAATCATTCTAGATATTTGATTCTTGACAGTTGAAAACTGACAAAGATTCAAAATTAGTGTTAGTATGAAGGTGCCGGGACTTCCATGTCCGAAAACGTATTTAATGAATGGTCAAAACAACATCACCTTACACTGATCGTTCAGGTTTCGATTCTCAGTTGAGGGTAAACTTTTTATTCCAGAATTTTTTTTATTTTATGCAATAGAGTGAATGAAGAGGGATCTTTGCTCCTGCTAAAATGGGAAAAGGGAATAAATAAGAACTAAGAAAATATTTTTGCTCATGAATTTGACGGGTCGTTTCAAATAAAATTTCATATTCCACGTTACTTCCATTTTTTTGCATCGAGTTGATTGATTTTTTCCCCCCTTCTTCTGTTTCCCTATTCAAAATTTTACCCTCTATCTGATTCTGACCTCATTCTTCCCAAAAATCTTCCATTTCTTGTATTTTTTGGTCCCTAAATGTCCAAAATGTCATTACCGTAACCTGTTACTTTTCTGATTTGGTATTTTTAGCCTGCTATGATAAAACCGACACAAGTTTGACTGATTTGACTTTTAGCTGGATTATTAGTTTCAGTATATCCTAGAGAATATTTGATCACAAGAAGAGGTTTTAAATCCAACTATTTCGGCATTTTTTGAATGATTTATGCTTGTTAATGAGTTTCGTGTCATTACCGTAACCGCCGAATTTAAGTGTTTTCTCAGCCGCTAAAGGGCAGCAGCAACAGTGTTTATCATTGAGTCGACAAGTGTTCGGAAGCTGAGTGCGTGGTGAGTTATTATCACATTTTGTTTCAAATTTATGAGTAATTTTGGGTTATTTACATTGAATTTTGTGTTTAAGGGTAACTTACTACTGTCATTATCGTAACTATGGAAAAATGTGGCAAGAATTCATTTTTAATTTAAAATGTCAGCATGTTCTATTGTAACGTATCGTCTTAACCTCAAATATGCAGTTTCATTGACATTGATGAGTTTTCGTATGTTTTATCGCCGAAAAACACCAAATTTCGTCATTACCGTAACCATCATTACCGTAACCTGCGCCAACAATAGTCCAGGCATTATGGGAAAAATAGAAAAAAAAATTATACATAAGGTTTTATGTGTCCAAGTTATTCATTGCAGTGTCAGGGACTCCCAGCAAAAAGTCCCCAAGAATCCCCTGTACGCTCGACCCCCCGCCCCCCCCCCACAAAACCCCCAAAAAATCGACCTTTCCTCGGTTTTTCCTAAGTATCTCAAAAAGAATTGGTTTTAGCGAAAATTGAGTTACTTAGTGAATGAAAGTTCATAAAATTTCCAATAAAAATGACTTCTATGAATTTTTTTGTAAAACGACTTTGAACCCCTCAAAATGGCCGCCGAAAAAACGGGCATTTACGGAAATTTCAGTTTTTTCCCGAAAATGCCTATTTTTCTTGGAAACGGCTGCTCTTATGTAAAAATTAATGGCGGATTCTAAAAGAGCGTTGAATTTCACATCAGAAATGATTAACATCGATCATTTTAGACTCACGGTCGATCTACGGAAATACGATATGCTCTTCCGCCCGGGCGTAACAAATCAAGTGCTGGGTAGTTACTCATTTAAGTTTACGTTTCTGCTAGAGCAAGGAAGCGTTCAATTATCACGTAATGCATCTGAAGAGGGAGGAGAGTCGGGATCCTTCCATCCCGAAAATAGAAATTCTGCATTGAGGGGTGGGG